ACACTTCCAGGGATGGAGCAGCCACAGCTTCTCTGGGCAACCTGTGCCAGGGCCTCCCCACCCTCACAGGGAAGAATTCCTTCCCAATATCCCATCTAACCCTGCCCTATGTCAGTGTAAAGCCATTCCCCCTTGTCCTGTCACTCCAGCCCTTGGAAATAGTCTCTCTCCATCTTTCCTGTCACTCCTTCAGGCACTGGAAGGTCACAATTAGGTCACCCCAAAGCTTCTCTTCTCCAGGCTGAACAACCCCAGCTCTCCCAGCCTTTCCTCCCAGCAGAGCTGCTCCAGCCCTCTGATCATTTTGGTGCCTCCTCTGGATTCTCTCCAGCAGCTCCATGTCCTTCCTGTGCTGTTCTCAGGGCTGGATCAGCTCTGCAGGGGGGTCTCACCTGAGGGGGCAGAGGGGCAGAATAACTTCCCTGATATTCTGAAATCCTCCCTGAAATCCTGATATTCTTTCTCAGAAAATTATCCCTCCTGCCGGGGCAACTACACATAAGTGATATGGAAAATAGATAACAAAAAAGGGAATAAAGGAGCTTTATGCCATCAGAACTTGGACTGAGAACAAAGCTCTGGCACGAAGCAAGTGCATACAAGAGGCAGAGACCAGCTGGTGGCAGCTCCAGGCTCCCCAGGGCTTGTGAGGAGTCTGGTGAGTTTGACATTTTAACTTGCAATATAAACTCCAGCAACATTTGCCACTACCTGGGTTCACAGACAGTGCTGCCAACTGTGGTTGGTTCAGAATATTCCCATTTTTTCACTCCAAACCCAAGCTCTATGTATGAAGACACCATTTTCTCTTTGGTAAAGTGTTTTCTCAGATAGAGAAATGACCTCTAGTATTTGTTGCTGTGAAAGCATGAGAAGAGAATGCACAAAAAATAATAACAGAGATAAATCAGAGTAATTCTGCATTTATTCTTAAAAAAAAATCACTGTCATGTGCTTTGCTTGTGATTTTTGAACAAATACAGGTGTCAGCACTTCCTGATAAAGTTTGACACCTAAGCAGCACCACCCAGCATTCCTGTGCTTTCCAAACATTAATCTGTCCTAATCCCAGATATTTTCAGGATTAAACACTTGCAGAGTGTTTCAAAGAATAAAAGCCAGGAAGTGCTGATTTTCTGTGTGGAAGGAACTGAAGCTCTAAGGAAGGGGAGAGAGGAAGAGAGGAAAGAAGGGAAACCAACGTGGACATTCGGGCTCTGGAGAGGTCTGATGAGTTTGGAAGAATTACTTTGGTTCAATTATAAAACTAAATAGAAGCAAATGATCGTTTTTAAAGCCTTGCTTATAGAATCACAGAATTAGGGAATGGTTTGGGTTGGAAGGGACCTTAAATATCATCCAGCTCCACCCCCTGCCATGGGCAGGGACACCTTCCACCAGCCCAGGTTGCTCCAAGCCCCGTCCAACCTGGCCTTGGACACTTCCAGGGATGGAGCAGCCACAGCTTCTCTGGGCAACCTGTGCCAGGGCCTCCCCACCCTCACAGGGAAGAACTTATTCCTTATATCTAACTTAATTTCCCCTCTTTCAGTTGGAACCCATTGTTCCTTGTCCTATCACCAGAGGTCCTGAAGAAAAAACATCACCATATAGGTACCTGGGCATTCCAGTGCCGGCATTCCAAGCAGCCTTTCATCCACCTATGCACCAGCTTAAGGAATATTTGAATATTTAACAAACACAAGAATCAGGTAATTGTGGATGTCAGGGGAAAAAAAAAAAAAAAGAAGAAATAAAAAATAATTCCTGATTTTTAATTTAATTGCACTGGATTTCTTCCTTGGTCTCCCTCCAGCAGTAGCACATCCAGAGTCTCCTGTAGTATCAGGACTGATCCCTGTGAAAAACACAACCCCCAGCGAGGGTTTCATGCCACACTCCCACAACACGAGCAGCCAGGAGCCAGGCTTCATGCAAATATTCTCTAAAGCAGGAGAACAAAGGGATTCTTTTTAATCAGAAATGTGATACACAGGCAGAACAGTTTCTGAACAACGTATTTAAAAATTTCCTATGAGGTGCTGGCAGCCTTTTGGGAGTCCTCTGTTATCACGGGCCCATCAACTGGCTTTTGATGTGCTGCTTTGCAGTTTTCCCTGTAAAAGGCTCCCACCTCACATGCCCTTTGGGGTTGGCATTAGGGCAGGAGGTGGCATTTGAAATCAAACCCATAACTACAGAGTTTATCTGATTACAGCTCCCTGCTGCTTGCTGATAAATCAGAGTTTCTGCAGCGCTGCCAAGACTGCTTTGATTTGTCCAAGGTATCCTCTACAGTTCTTCACTTTGAGAGGGAAGAGGGTATTATTAACACAGAAAAAAAACACCTTAGAGTG